TCCTTGCCTAGTAAAAAAAAAAAAAAAAAACAAAAAAAAAGTCGATTAGACCATGCTGAAGATTGAATCTCTGAGGTAGAAGATAAAACCTCTGATCTAAAAAATACCACCAAAAAGATAGAGAAAATAACAGAAAAAAATGAGAATAATAATGAGAAATACTAGATTCCATTAGATGCCCACACATACAAATAATTGGGATCCCAGAAGATGAATAAACTAATAAGGTCATGGAAAATCTATTCCATGAAATCCTGGAATAAAATTTCCGAAGTCTAGAGAGGCACTCAAACATCTGAACCCAAGAAATACATAGGACCCCAAATACAATCATCCCAAGATCTTCCCCAAGGTACATTTTAGCCAGACAGGCAAAGACCACAGATAAAGACATACTAAAAGTGGCAACAGAGAAATGACAAGTGACTTACAAAGGTCATCCCATCAGGCTAACAAGGGACCTCTCAATGAAAACAATGCAAGCAAGGAAACAATGGGAAGATATATAGAAAGTTTTAAAAGAGAAACAATTTCAACCAAGATTTCTATATCCTACAAGATTGTTCTTCATATGAAAATAAATAAATAAATAAATACATAAATAAATAAATAAAATTTTCTCAGACAAACGTAACCTGAAAAAATTTGCCAACCCCAGACCAGCTCTTCAAGAAACCCTGAAGGAGAGTACTGTTCTAGGAAAACTAAACAATGAACAGCCAGAAATAAAGTATTAAAAGGCAACCAAGAAAATGGCCAAATATTCCAAGTCTGGAAATATCGATAATAACATTGAATCTGAATGAATTAAACTCTCAAATCAAGAGACACAGATTGACTGAATGGATTTTAAAAAAATAAAAAACAAAAACAGAGGGACCAGTCTGCGCCAGCTTGTCCTCTGCTCCATCCTGCCACTACCCAATGCCCTCTTGCCGCCCAGCATGGCCCTGCTGCACTCCGGCCGCGTCCTCTCGGGGTCACCACCGCCTTCCATCCAGGCCTCGCCGCCACTGCCGCCTCTACCAGACCCAACTCCTGGTGGGCCCATGTGAAAATGGGACCCACAGATCTCATCCTGGGAGTCACCGAAGACTTTAAAAGGGACACCAATAGAAAAAAGATGAATCTGGGTGTTGGTGCCTACCAGGATGACAACGGAAAGCCTTATGTGCTCCGTAGTGTCCGGAAGGCAGAAGCTCAGATTGCTGCAAAAAATTTTGACAAGGAATACCTGCCCATTGGAGGACTGGCTGAATTTTGCAAGGCATCTGCAGAACTGGCGCTGTGTGAGAACAGCGAAGTGTTTAAATTGGCTGACTTGTCACTGTACAGACCTTTTCGGGAACGGGAGCCTTAAGGATCGGAGCCAGTTTTCTGCAAAGATTTTTTAAGTTCAGCCGAGATATCTTCCTGCCCAAACCATCCTGGGGCAATCACACACACATCTTCAGGGATGCTGGCATGCAGCTACAAGGTTATCAATACTATGACCCTAAGACTTGCGGTTTTGACTTCTCAGGAGCCATGGATGACATTTTGAAAGTTCCAGAGAAAAGTGTTCTTCTGCATGCCTGTGCCCATAATCCCACAGGAGTGGACCCTCGCCAAGAGCAGTGGAAGGAGATTGCAGCAGTGGTGAAGAAAAAGAATCTCTTTGCTTTCTTTTACATGGCCTACCAAGACTTTGCTAGCAGTGACGGTAACAAGGATGCCTGGGCTGTGCGCCACTTCATCAAACAAGCCATTAATGTTTGTGTCTGCCAATCATACACAAAGAACATGGGCTTATAT